AAACAAAGCTTTAAAGATTATGACCAAACAGAACCAAATAAAGATTATGTAACTAAGCTCTCCTCTCAAGGTACAAACAAAGGCAGGACTATTATAATATAATAGATAAAAGTAATGTCTGGCAATAGTTGGCAATGTCAGTTGCTGGCTTAATAGAATAGGTCCCTATTAGCATCAAATTCAAATTACTTTGGCCTCGTTTGATCGAAAAACAAGTTATTTTAGGATTAATTATTTTGTATTATTGTTTCACTCTTTCATAAAAATAGTACTCCATTTTCGGGATAACTAATCACATGAATAGTTGTACCGTGACTTCAGTGGCGAAGCCACATGGTTACAAGTTTCAATTCATCGAAAAATTACACTATATATATAGATAAAATATTATATTTTAGAAGTATATAACACATATTGAACACCCTTTGTCGTGGTTTTTAATTATTTCTTTCAAATTTGAATACCCTTGAGTAAATTCCTAGTTTGGCCACTGCGTGACTTTATCTCGACCGAATGTGGGATAAATGCATCTCAAATTTAATATCGAAATTAATTATCCCTTATCCCGAGTGCCAAACAAGCCCTTACTCTTCTGATTGTCCAAGTGTTATTACAGGTGATGAATATATGAAATCTTTCCACTTTTAATCAGAGTTTCAAATTCGCGTATGAAAATGAAAAAGTCTTAATATAAAGTATTTCATCCTTAAATATATTATGTGTTTTGAAAGTCTAAATTAATCTAGTCGGTAAAGTTTGGGATACTAGATTTATTTTAAAAAGAAAGTTTTCATTAAACTAATGCACACTGCTATTTTCTGAAATTAAAATAGACATTTTCCAACATTATTTTCAAAAAATATCTTCAAAACAATACCAAACGTCACAACATAAGTAGTTCTATAAATTCTACTAATGTTTATAATTTTTTCCTTTAAAAGTTGGAGTTAATTCTAACAGTAAGTGGCGGATCATCAAGTTTTAATGCAGCCCGCTGAAGGACATTTACTATGGTCGTGTCCTGTTTGCGAGCAAATATCATATTTACGAGCATAAACGTATCATCAACATCCATTTGGTTCCGTCGCGTTTGCAGCTTGCGCAAATAGTCCTTGTTACACAACATTTTAAATGATTTCGACGGCCAATAATACTCAACACCCAATGGCTGCAACTGCCCACTATATGTGTTTACGTATGCAGCAACACTATATTGCCTATCAACATAGTTGGTTGACCCTAAACCTGTTAGTTGAAAGCACTTCATGGCATGTGCGCACAGCATGTGGTAGACGGTCCATTTCCCACATGAACACAACCCGCTGGCTTCATTCAGATCCCCGGTATCCGCGGATAGCGGTGCGAACTTCAAAAACACCCCCGATCGTGATCATACTATAAATATGAACGCCAATGTGCTCGCCTCCTGTATTTCTCAAGTCTTCTCATCGGTATTGGCATAAATTCAACACCCTGATCCATCAATTTCGATGAAGCTCTGTGCCTTTCAACAAACCTCTCCGCCATCTGTTTGAATGTCATCCGGACCATGGCAGTGACAGGCAATCCATGTGCAGACTTCAATAAGCCGTTGAATGACTCTGACACATTTGTAGACAGGGCTCCCCATCGTTTGCCACCATCAGCATGCAATATTCACTTGTGAAGCTCATGTCCCATCAGCCAATTATAGGCTCTTTCGTCTAACTGCCGGATCGCTTCCATGCGCCTCCTGAATTTGCACTGCTGGTGCTCAGTTGCAGCCATCCACATTAAATCATGCAATTCCTTGGTGGGATATTTCTTCAGAAAATAACGGTTGTATGCAAAGGGTTCCTTCCACTCAGGCAAATGCCATACAGAACTTAAAATACCACTATGCCGATCAGATATTAGACAAATACCTGAACGCTGTTTGATAACGTGCTGCTTCAAGTGGTTCAAAAATAGCGTCCATGTCTCTTCGCTTTCATTGGCACAAATGGCAAAAGCTAGTGGAAATATTTGTCACAAATGGCAAAAGCTAGTGGAAATATTTGTCCATTGGCATCTACTGCAACGGCCGATTAACTGCTTAATATCATACTTTCCATAGACATGAGTATCGTCTATGGAAATTACCGGACGACAATGCACAAAACCATCAATTGCTGGTTTAAATGCCTAGAACACGTATCTGAATATATATTCCGTTATTCCCGGACTCTGCTCATGCCTCCATTCAACAACAGTCCCGGGGTTAAAATATTTCAGTGCGGCCATGTACCTGGATAGAGATGAAAATGACTTATCCCAGTCACCATAAATAATTTCAAATGCACGTTTGAGCCCGAGATATGCCTTTCTTTTGGTTATAGTACACCCATATTCCAGGTGGACGGATGTAATACACTCTTTAATCTTGTACCTAATGGACACTTCCAAGTGTGAAATCAAGACAAGAGAAATCAAGTCTACATCCAAGTTGAAAATGATTCTTATTGAATGTGTCCATTTCACATCTGTGGGTGCTAATATATTTACCCACTTTCCTTTTTTATCGCACGCAACATCCAGTTACAACCCATAAAGTGTCTACGACATTTGACCTTGTATACCTCCGGAGTTAACTCCCATACCATTATCTCACGACACTCCCTTACGCTGTACATTTTTACAGCCCTGGTTAAGCGAGCTTTATCGGGAAAATACATGCCCTTTGCCGGCACCGTTGGTCTAGACTCATCGCACATTGCTGACCGAAATTCCTCAGCATCCCTTGTGAGGGCATCCACATCCGGCATCTGGCAAATTACAAGGCCCCCCGCATCTCCAGACTAATCGGCATTGTTGTCATAATCACTATTATCTTTCTGACTCTGCGCATCTGCCAAATCACGAGTAAATACGTTGTCTACGAGCAACTGAGTGAGGTCGGGACCATCAAGTTGCTCGTTTTCACGGCGCAAAAAGAACTAAATGATAAGCTACTCAAATTGATAAATATTTTCCATGTAGCTATATCACTTCACTTACAAGTCGTACTATGTTGACATTCCATGATGGACGTTTTCCTGTTGGTGATGACTCCCGGATGGACCACCGTGATCCAACACGCCACAACTACGCATATTCCAACTGGGAGTGGGATCATAACTTGTAAAATTCATATCCAGACGGTACCCCTGTGGAAAATATGAGTGTTAATACAAATTCAATTCAACAAAAAATAAACATCGTAACAGAAAGGAAAGTTGAAGTTTACCAATCGTCTTGTGGATTATATAAAGTAGGAGAGAAATTATTTCCTCGCTCCGCGGAGATAAGTTAAGATCCGGCCAAACTCTTTCAGCTGGAACCTGTTGGGCTAAAATTGCTCCAGAATAACCACCCGATGACTGGGGGTTATCCCTGCTTTGCGCAATCTCATTATTGCGAACGTCTTCAGCCTTGACGTATATATCCAACAATTTTATCACAATAAATTCCCTGTATTCATCCGGAATCCGTAAAAGATCTCTAAGAGTTTCATCATCTTCGATGTTAAACTCAGAATAACAAGCAAACCCCTGCGGAGTCACAGGATACGGATATCTACCGGTTACTTTAAGGTTCACTGAACGTTTCCTCACACTCATTTTTTTATGTAACAACGATACCAATTTATCGTACTCCATTTTAAGTGGCAATTTAACATGACACTGTGGAGATAAACTATACGTCACAGAGTTATTCTCCACTATAACAATATTTTGAATGGATTTTCATAAAATCCTAACGCCTTTAAATAAGGCAATGCCTAGCTCGAGGGGCGGAATTTTTTGATGTATAGCGCGGTATTACACCACGCTATACCCATTTGAATTATTGTTATGTCAGTTAACCGCATGAGACTTATTGGTGGGCCCACAAACAGGTATAGCGCGGTATTACACCGCGCTATATATATTTGAATTACTGTTATGTCAGTTAACAGCAGGAGACTAATTGGTGGGCCCACAAACAGGTATAGCGCGTTATTACACCGCGCTATATATAACGCGGTATTAGATCGCGCTATATTATAACGACATAAACACCGTTAAAATATAGTGCAGTGTAATACCGCATTATATATAGAAATGTACTTTTGAGCCACAACATTTAGGTTTCAGACTCCATTTTCCAGCATTATTTTCAAAAAATATCTTCAAAACTATACCAAACGTCACAACATAAGCAGTAGCAATGGCGGTGGTTAATCATCAAGACTCTGTTTTTAATGCAGGCGTGGGTATAAATGCAAAGAGACCTTTATTTCTAAGTTTTCTTTGTTCAATTCCTTCAAAAATACCCATTTTCTTGTACACTTCCCCTCTCTCTCTCTGAAAGTCTTTGACTGTGGTTAGTAGCAGAGTGTTATTTATAACTTCACAGCATACAGTGACAGTACATAACAGTTTTGAGCATTAACCAAATTTCAAGAAAATAGTGTACAGACTACCAAATGTAGCACACAATCTGAAATGAGGTATCTTTTCTTGCTTCCCACTTTTTAGTCAGGTCTTTTTCTGTTTCAGAGCCGAGTTTAGGAAGGTGGGTGGGTCTGTTTTTTTATTTTTTTTTTTTTTGGCCTCTGACTAGGGTTTTAAGAAGGAGTATTTATGATGCTGAAATTTAATGCCTTTCCTCTTAAATTAACTACAAATGCTCTTTATTGAACTGGGAATGTGTTTTTCTTGGATAATGTTGCTTGGACTTTTCTGAATGATTTGGAATAATGGGTTCAATGCAAACTTGAATTTTTTTAAAATTGTTGGTTTATTTCAATTTCCATGATCCTTGCATTTTGTTTCTCCATTCTGTGCTTTGAACTCCTATTTTCTTGGTTATGTATTTTCCAGCTGTTTGAGTGGCTAGCTTTGACTTGTTTGTGCTTAATTATTTGTTGATTTTCTTGTGTACAAACTTTTGTAGTTTTGTTTCATCTTGTTGAGCTGGAGACTTTGATAACAACAACAACAACATACCAGTATAATCCAGCTGACAAAAAGAGGTATGAGAATGCTTTGAGCTTCCGATCACCAAATATGTCATCGGATTGGCAATTAAGTGGCAGCAATTTGACAAATGCATCCGTCGGGATGGTTTCGAATAGCAATCCAATGGTAGATTCGTTCTGTGCTAGTGTTTGGGATCATCCGATCAGTTCGTCAAACTTAGGCTTATGTGATACTAATATTCAAATGAATCATGGCACGACAAATGCACTTGACCCCCTGAGAACTAATGTTAATAGAATGCTTGGTATGAGTTGGACTCAACCAAATGCAATATTGTTGAAAGGGGGTACGTTCGTACCCCCTCCTCCTGGTATGCTTCCTCAGGGCTTATCTCAGTTTCCAGCTGATTCAGGTTTTATTGAGAGAGCTGCAAGATTTTCATGCTTCAGTGGAGGAAAAGTTGGTGATATGACGAACCCCTTTACCGTCCCTAATTCTCCTAATATGTATCATAATGGACTGGCCTTGCATCGGCCGCAGGAGGTTTTTGCTAGTAAAGGCTTACAGTCACCTTCTGCTGCAATCAGTGAGAAGCAGCACACAGGAAATGTGGTTGAAGGTTCTGAGGATGTGTCTTTACCTCTTGAACATGGAGCCACAGATAGAAGCCCCCTCAAGAATGAGAAAAATGAAGGCTTTTCTAGGTCTCAGGATGAAGCAAAGGAATGCGTTGGCATCCCCGGAAATGAGTCTGATGAGGCTGAATGTAGCGGCCATCAAGAAGAAGTAGAGGGTAAGGATTCGTCTGCTAGGGGCCTTGGCTCAAAGAAAAGGAAAAGAAGCGGTCAGGTACAACTTGCTTGTAGAAACACTTTTTATTATGGCAATAGCTGCAACTACAATGTTTTCCAAATGTTGTTCTGTGCAAGTTCTTCGATGTTAAAGTTTTCTTGTGTTTTCGTTAGGATACAGAACTTGATCAAACGAAGGGAGCACAACAACTGCCAGCTGAACGAACAAAAGATCAAACAGAAATTCAGAAGGGAGAGCAAAACAGGCTTGGTGGAAAGAATGGTAAACAGGGGTCTCAATCGGCAGATCCACCTAAAGAAGAATACATACACATTCGAGCTCGAAGAGGCCAGGCAACAAATAGCCATAGTCTTGCAGAAAGAGTAAAGACTCCAAAATAGAAGCTTAATGGTTGTAACGAGATCTCATCTTATAGTTCTTTCGAATTTGACTTACTTTATTTTGATACAGCTAAGGAGGGAGAAGATCAGTGAACGGATGAAATATCTTCAGGATCTTGTACCTGGTTGCAACAAGGTTAGTTTATTTTGCAGTAATCAGCCTTCTTACAACACGTCCATCACAATAGTAGGCATCTTCTCTTTATACATCTCGAGTGAGAACTGAGAACCGGTGGTTTTGCAGGTCACTGGGAAAGCAGTAATGCTGGATGAAATCATTAATTATGTACAATCTCTTCAAAGACAGGTGGAGGTATGCTATTTACTAATTTATCTATTATTCACTTCTCCAAATTTTACTTTGTTATTCCTTCCGCTTGCACTTCCCTCAAAATCCGTTTTTGTTTCGTTCTGATGATGTTGTTTAATGAATGATTAACCCCACCTTTGTTTTTTCCCTCTTTTGGGTGGTAAATTTATCTCTAATCTTAAAATGTAATGCACATGCATTTACAGTTCCACAAAATGTTGAATTGATTTCTGATTTCTGACAACTAGTTTCCGATTTAGTTGTTATTTGCTAAATTCTTGCAAAATCTAAGAAGTTTACTTAAAACAGAAGAACCCTCTTTTCAGTGCCTCTTAACATATTTGTGTTCGATAAATGACTGGACTTCTTGTTCTCTCAGTTCCTCTCAATGAAGCTTGCAACGATAAACCCGCGGCTGGATTTTAATATTGATGGGCTCCTTGCAAAAGATGTAAGAACCAGTGCATTTTTCTGTGAATTACATGAAGCGGAACACAGTTTTATTCTAGTATCTAAATATAGCACATTCTTTCACTTCTTGCAGATTCTCCATTCACGGACGGTTCCTTCTTCGTCACTTGCTTTTGCTCCTGATATGACGATGCCATATCACTCCTTGCAACAACTGCAACCCAGCCTACTTCAGTCAGGTCTTCTTGGTTTAGGAAACTCTACCGATGCACTTCTTAGGTCGATCTATCCCCATTTATCCACAACTAGTGGTGGCTTCAAAGAGTCCTCATCTCAGGTAGCATTCTGAATACTATTTATTTCATGTAGTTAATCATGAATGTTTCTTCTACCACTGCAGCATAAACAGCCTTACTCTATAATCTAACCATTCGCTTACTTATTTATTCAGTTGCCTAATATATGGGATGATGAGCTACATAATGTTGTCGAGATGGGTCTCAGTACAAGTCCGCCCCTCCATAGTCAAGATTTAAGTGGTATTTTATATGCTCCTCATGATTTTTTTAATTGCAAATTAGCATCATCTCCTTCAATTATTACAACATTCTACATACTTGGTAGGTTCTCTGCCATCAGGCCAGATGAAAGAAGAACTTTGAACTTTGTTTTAGATATCAACTGCTTGAACTTTCTGTTTGTTGGGTACGTGGAACATTTGGGAAGACGTCATAGTGAAGAGCTATTCCTATGAAGATGTTCTACGTTCGGGTGTACAGCTAAGAGTGTGTTTATGGTGCACTTGACCTCCTTCTATTTCAGTACCATATAATTGGCTACCAAGAAAGTAACAACTTATACCACGAGACACAAGTTCTTCATCTGCAATATCAAATGAAAGTTCAAGAAAATTATTTTATAACCTGGATGTATATGTAAGGAAAATGGATGATGACATTTGGTCTTAGTTCTTGAGTCTATGAAAGAAAATGACTATATTCTTGTTCATTCTATCTGGAAGAACATGAAAATGTACGCTTGAGGTAGGAAAGTGAAGTTGCATTCTGTTCTTCCCAATCATTCATTCTCTCCATAAAGACTTTCTAGTTCCTGGAAAATTTAGAGAGAATACGGCAATCGCGCTGTTGTTATTATTCCGAGAAGTAACAAGTATGTATATATATAAGCCTAACTACAGAAAGATTAAAAAAGAAGATCCTATAAATCTGTTGTGAATCCTATAATTTTGCTAGCTAAGTACATTTCATAAGAGTATGTTTACATTCATTCTGTACCACTCTCCCTCAAGGTAGAGTATAGATATCGATCATGCTCAGCTTGTTACGAAGGTAATCTATTCGAATTTCATTCAACATCCTTGTGAATAATTGCTCTCCCGTTTTCGTAGCTAGTGGATATCAAGTTCTCCTGAATCTTTTCACGAATAAAATGACAGTCACCCTTAATCCTTAGTTCTTTCATGATACATTGGATTTGATGTAATATGGAGTACAACTTGATTGTCATACCAGAGTTTTGCTGGTATTGGAAGCTCCAACTTAATTTCAGTCAAAAGATGATGTATCCACATAATCTCACACGTAGACTGTGATATAGCTTTGTACTCTGATTCTGCATTGGATCGAGATATAACACTTTGCTTCTTACTTCTCCACGATACCTAGTTCCCTCCAACAAAGACACAATAACCTATAGTTTATCTTCTATCAATTTTGGATCCAGCACAATCAGCATCTGCAAAATACTCAATTCAAGTATAGCCATGATTACTATATAATATGCCAAGTCCAGGAGCTCCTTTCAGGTAACATAAAATCTGTTCCAAAGTTGCCCAATTTTTGACCATTGGTGCGGACATGAACTGGCTAACAACACTTACCGTAAAAGCAATATCTGGACGTCACAATGAGGTAGTTTAATTTTCCAATTAACCTCCTATATCTTTCTGGATCGTCAAAAGAATCGCCATCATCTTTCATGAGGTGCACATCAGGGCCATCAAAATTTATCTTCAACATGCCCAAGTCCTTTGTAACCTAGTATGCAGGAAAGACTTGAGGGAAGAGATCTACACATAGTCACTCCTGTGGTAACAAGGTCATCAACATATACAACAAGGAGAAGAGTGCTAGCTACTGATTGCCGGTAGATGACTAAGCAATCACACTTGCTCATTTTCAGCCCAAACTCCCGAACTACCTCACTGAACTTGCCAAACCAAGCTTGAGGACTCTGTTTCAAGCCATACAAGGGCTTTTTCAAATAACATACTTTTCCATACTCCCTCTAAGCAATAAAATCGGGTGGTTATTCCATATACACTTTCTCTTGAAGATTACCATGAAGGAACGCATTCTTGATATCTAACTGATGCAAAGGCCAATTCTCTGAAGTAGCTAGAGAAATAAATAAGCGGACAGAAGAGAGTTTGGCAACGAGGGAGAAGGTGTCGAAATAATTTACCCATAAATTTGAGCATGCCTGTGTGATTATCCTTTAAACCATATATTTCCTCAATTATTGCATCATACAATCCAGAACGATTCAAAGTCTCCTTCACTATTTTGGCTAAGCAAAGTGCTGGGAAGGAGGATCTGATGACGAAGGAGCTATTGCAGGACTTGTATCATTTGTGCGAGTAAACTTGAACAATTAGCGGTCTTGCTAACAAGTTGGAGTGCGTGCTGAAGGTACAATAGTCGATTGGTGATCAATAGAAGAACCAAGAGATGGACGAATATCATCTGTTTGTTGTGATGACCCAAAAGGTCATCACTTGATTTAAAAGTCAATTCTGTGTTTCGAGGACTTAAAAATCTCCTTTTGTCTCATCTCGATTTACCTACATAGTGGAGATTGCTTGTATGATGGGGGCCCGTATGTTGGATGATATAAACTGGCCCTCGGTTGTGAAAATAGTAACTTTAGGTGTTCTTGAGAATTTCATTGATTTTGATGCTAAATTCATAGTTGTTGATGTTATTTTGATGATTTGATCGCACGAGCAAGTCCGTATGATATTTTTTTTGGACTTGCGTGCATGTTTGGTTTGGAGCCCCGAGGGCTCGGGTGAGTTTTGGATAGGCCACGGAGTGTTTTGAACTTAGGAGCAGCAGCTGGTGTGTTGCAAGTCTGCAAGCTTCGCAATTGCGAAGCCTGGCTCAACAAGAATCGCAATTGCGAACGATTCGCATTTGCGAAGAAATCAGGCCAGGCCAACCTTCGCAATTGCAAAGCCTTGGCCGCATTTGCGAGTTCGCATTTGCGAACCTGGCATCGCAAATGCGATAAATAAGCCTGGTAAGTTGAAACTTAGACGGAATTTTCCTCATTTTTCAACTAAGCTCTCTTGGGCGTTTTTCAAAGGAAGGTTCTTCAGCAACTTTTCGGAAAATTAGGAATTTCGAAAATTGGGGATTTGGACCTCAATTGAGATCGGATAAACCAATTGCATATCCGGGCTCGGGGTAATTAAGCATTGGGTGTGAGTTCTTTAGCATTATTTGATGTTATTAAACTAATTATGACTAGATACAAGTGAATAGGAGGTGAATTCTAGAGGGAAAGCGATAGTTGAGGCTTGATTTGTGGCCGTGGAATCGAGGTAAGTGTTTGGTCTAACCTTAGCTTGAGGGAATATGTGTTGTGCCTTATTTGCTATGTGCTAGTGTAGTGTACGACGTATAGGTGTGGTGACGAGTATCTATACGTTGGTGTCAAGCATACCCGTGAGTCTTAAATTGTGATCGTTGTGATTCTTGATAAGTACTACAAAGGCCTAAATTGTTGGTTACACGTGTTGAGTAAGACTTATGATCATTTTTCATAATATTTGTCTATTGTTGAGCATTGGCTCTAGTTGAGGTTCAATTGTGAAGTTAATTGTTGGAAAAAGATTGGTTATAGCTGATTCCCTTACCGGGACGTATTTAATTCTTATTGTTAATTCCCTTGTCGGGATGCATTTATTCTTAATGTTGATTCCCTTGACGGGATATTGATTGTTTATCACGTCCTACTCCGCACTACTAATTAAGTAGCGAGAGAGGGTCAGAGCAGCTTTTACCCGATTTAGGGTCGAGATCGATATCCACAGAGAGCTAGAATTTGGAATCGAGTATCTATCTAGTGTAGAGTTGCGTATGTGTTCCAAATTACACTTCTAAACATTTTTGAGGTTTTTGTTTTACTTCTACTATTTATCAAACTACAAATGGTAAATGAAACTAGATTAAGCGAAGAGTTATAATGCTACGGGTTGTTCAAATGGTTTAAAAAGCACTAGGGTAGTGGCTTCCGCCTAGGTGGTCAATTGACGGGTACTTGAATCTAAGGCATGTTTGACATATTTGGGGAGTATGATATAACCGTTGCACGACTTTACCCACTCTACACCTCTCGGTGGTTTGAGTGATTTTGCCCGAATTGACTTTCTCAAGACCAATTGGGTAAGCAAATTTGCACAAGCAACTAGGGTTCAAGTTGGGTATTACTCTCTCGAGGTTTAACCCTTTAATTGGGGATATCAATCTCTTGAGTACGCCCCAATTCCTTGTTGGACCAATCGAGCAAGTCAACTCAACACAAACTAGTGTTTGCAACCACTAATTCAGCATTTAACCATGAAATTGGCCCAAATAACAAACACTCATAGTCAATTTAGCCCTAAAATACAAGACCCATCAATTGCCCACACTAGGGTTGAGCCACAACCCTAGCTTATGGGTCTAGCTACTCATAATTAAAAAAGAAAAGCAAGAAATAGATGAAGAACAGTTTATATTAATTAATTACTAAGATAAAATAGAAGATTCAATGATGAAAAGAAGATAAAATTGCCCAAAATAACTAAGAAAACCGAAGTCACGAGCGCAGCTACCAGTCAAATCTATCTTAAGCTGACATTCTCTGGGGTAGTGCAAAATGACTGCGGTCGCACTAGACTAAATGGCCGCGGACCGCATTGGCTTGCCACTTGGAATTTGCAGCTCTCTGATTCTTCTCTCTGCCTGGCTGTCTTGTCTTGTCTTGGATTTGAGCTGATCTTTGACATGTATCAAGCATAACTTATGAGCCTTTTGGTCCTTTTTTATACGAATTTCCAATCAAAACATAAGAAAGAGGGAGTATAAAATGTATCAAAATCACTAGTTATCAACTCCCCTAAACTTAAGCTGTTGCTTGTCCTCAAGCAAACAAAATAAGACCCACCCCTTAAGGGAAAATCCAAGAAAATTCAGCTGACCTAAAGTAACCTCAACTAGCCTCAATTGGGACTAACAGTTGCCTTTAATGCACATGAATCATTAATCACTTTTACTCTTTAAAACACCATGGATTAAGTGCGACACAAGAGCATCAAGAGTTGACTCAACACATCAAAGAACTCTTTTTTATTACTTCGGTCATTGTGGAACCCAAACTCACACATCCTCAACTCTCCCTAAGCAAACCTCACCTTTAGAATAGTGGCACTCAGAACGAGGTCAATGGAAGTTCACTTATCTCTCTCAAGAAAAAGTCACAAGTCCGGCTCTAGGTACCATATGCTTGCCCCTTATGTGAGTATCCACTAATGTAAGCCTTTTGTGGAGACGTTGTGAAGGATTTTAAGAATTTTCACTTTGTAAGCTTTATGGCATTTAATATTCTCTTGTCTTTGTATTTTAGTATGAGTAGCTAACTTTAACTACTAAGGTTGTGGACCCTAAATGGGTGTTTAACATTGAATATATACATAATGGTTGGTTGATATTTATTTACTTCTCATTCCTCATTTTTTGTTGGTGGTTGCAAACATTAACAAGTGCCATTAAAATTCTTGCTTTGCTTGGGAAAGTGGGTTAGAATTTGGTAGAAGTAAATATCAAAGACTCAAGGCTTTAAACCTTGTTTAATAAAATCGCTTAGGAATAAGTGGGTTTTATTTAGCATAAATTGATTGTTCTTAATTGCAATTCTTTTACATTTGGAAAATTTATAAAGAGAAAATACTACTCAACTATTGGGAAATATTGGGTAGTTATTTAGACATCATATGCATATCAAAAGAACCATCC